GCTATAAATAGGCAAGACTTACTGGTAACTTATGTTTTTCCATTTAATTTGACTGATCTTTGTGGATACAGTACTTCAAAGATGGCAGATGCCTCTTCCCTTATGCAGATCAAAAAGGACAATTTTACAGGAATTTTTTTTCTTAAGCTGAATAGTGAGGACAAGTCTGCTCATATTTCTTCATAAGTATCCTTAAAAATTCATAATGCTTTAGTATGAGGTTCTGCAGTGTAAAAATAGACACTGTCTATTACAAACTCATAAAAAATACATCTGTACCTTCAAAATTAATTTACCATTATTTTGGAAAGGCAAAAATAGCAGGCAGTTGACAGACTAGGCCTGAAATTAGTTAGTACCTGGCTAGCTGAAGTATAGCTCAGTTTCCTTAAACAAAGCAGCCTATTTAAATCAAGTATATGATGAAGTGTTTCTTACTGTATTAGTAGAATAAAGTTAGTAATTAAAATTGGAGTGATCTCCTCATAATGCTTACATTTAATCCACACCTGCTTCACCAAGAAGAAAGCACACGACACTATGGATACAACCACCAAGAATTAACCATGGATTGTTTTACTTTTCTGTTTTTATTAACATTGAGAACTATCTCATGGATCCTAAAAAGATGTTGTGCTTGACTAAAAAAAGAGGGATGCTTTTTGTATTAAACACCAAGGCATTTTAAATAGCAGTATCTTTTGTAATCAATCCCAGCCAGGCTTGAGGTCTTAGGGAAGGTGAACAAAAGTGAGTGTATGTGGGAAATCTAAGGAAAAAATAAGAGATTTTATTTCTTTGCATGTTTGTATGTGAACCTCACTCACATCAGAAGTCAGATCAATACTTCACAGTGCTCTGTCAGTGCACTTCATTGTATCATATCAGGTAAAACGAGTGCTTTGATGTTCTTGAAACAAAACAGCTTAGGGGTTACTGCAGTGAACACGTGGAAGCTTCTTAAACTGCTATGGTCATTTCACACACAAGTGACCAATCTAGTGTTCATTTTTTACTCCAGGTATTTTTGCCAAGAGAAGTTATAATTGATTCCAGTCAATTATGATGCATTCATTGGTCTACTGAGAACTGGACTGAGATCACCACGATCACTTCACAAAAGCCAGCTCATAGTTGTTACTATTCAACCTGGGCAGAAACATAAATAGGTATTTGTTAAAGGAAGTATCTGTGACAAATTTCAAACATATTACCTTCACAGAATTTTTCATTAAATACTGAATTGTTTTATTAATTTGGTAGCTAGATGATCATTACAGATTATTGTATGGGCTAGAGTCTTTCTCTCTTGAAGAAATTAAAGACTGAATTCCCCAGAAACTCAGCATTCTTTCTAGAGAGCAGTGCTGGTCCAGGCACCACTGTGTTCTGTATCAGAGGAAAATAGATATAACTAGTTTTTGTTTACAGATGTTTAACTACCACCAGGTTTCCTCAACCCATTAGCAAGGTTTGGACAATGAATGACATACTCTGTGGCCATAACCTTGAGATCATTAAAAGATTTATATTACATAGAGTTGTATATCTTGTTAGGAAGTTAGTATAACTACAGCACAGCTATGAACCACCAGGCATATCAACAGCCCTTGAACTAAAGACATAATTCTTTCACATAAGTTTGTGTGAGTTCCTGTTAAACCAGTGGCATCACCTAAGTTTTCTCCTTTTACTTGTGACAAGTATTCTGTACTTGGAACATGTTCTTTTAGATAGAAGGGTGACAGATGAAGTTAGCATTTCAATTTTAAATTTAACTACTTTGTCATAATTCTAGAGGCAAAAGCTACTTAAGCTAGTTTACTTGGTTAGCAAAGCATACTAACAGCTGTCTTTTACACTGGTGATGTTTGTCAGAAACACTGAAAGCATTCAATTTATGCATTCTGAAAGAACATTAAAGATTAAATCCACTATAAATAGCTCTAAAAGTATGGTTCCCTAAGGCATCTTATTAAGTGTCAGCTAGTTTCCTCACTGGCAAAAATAGTGGATCATCAAAATATCTGAGTGAACTCCACAGAGAAACAGTTATATAAACTCTGCTAGATATGTTTCATAAAAATGGCAGGAGTGAAAGGTATGAGAGGAAACACTAGACAGAAAAAACTGCCTCAAGCCTGTTTTCAATTTGGCAAATCAAATTTGGCAAAACCATCAGGACTACCAATGCGACTGCACCATACTGCCTACTGGCCAGCTCAGCACACCACCATCAAAACCAAAAACCATTACAGCCTCACAAGACTAACTCATGCTAGGGTGCAAACAACCACCAGAAAAAGAGATGCAAGATACTGGATCACAGAAACACAGAGCTGAGAAGGCCTGAGATCCCCACAGAGACAAACTAGAGAAAACGAGAGCATCAATGGCAACAGTTCACCTGAACTGTCATAAAAATTCCTCAAAAGAGATTCTCTGGCCTTGTTAAGCAGCATTTTCTAGGTGCTCTACTAGCCAAAAAAAATTCTCCTAATCCCTAACCTGTAGTCCTGTAGCCAGGAGTTGAGCCAGTTTCTTGGTAACCTCGCCAGGGAGACGGTGAGGGCAGTGGATTCCTACTGCCCTCTTCACAACAGCCTTCACTTGCTGGAGCACATCAGATCCCTCCTCAGTCATCTTTTTCCTAGTCGGAGCCAGCATGTCCTCAGGCACCGCGGTCTGGGGGGCGGAGGGTTCTCGCTGCTCTCCTCTGGGCTTGCCCCAGCCTCTCCTAGAGTGGGTGCCCAGAGCTGCTGTGATCTTCACTCAGGGCATCTTCACCAGCACCGGGGGCAGCGGAGCCATCGCCGCCAGGATTTAGCCCCGCCTCCAGGACTAGGACTAGGACTAGGACCAGGACCAGGACCAGGACCCAGACGCTCGCAGCACCAGCAGCAGCC